GTCTTGCCACATGATCCATATTCTGTTATCTTTTGAGTGGAATGAGTGGGTAAAACCAAACATGAATTGATACTGGTTGATTTTACAGGAATTCAGTTTTGGTTCAATGATGGCACAAAAGGTAATTTTATGAGTGTGGATAAGGTTGGCCAGTCTTTGAGCTTTGGAGCTTAGGCCACAGATGTTCCAAAAGAGTAGGTTCATTGAGAAACAGTGGGTGAGGAACTGAATGTTTGTGTCTTTTCTTGTATTCTCTTTGATTTCCTGACTGTCTGTGTGAGGTCCTTATCATTGTATTGAATATGTTTTGCAGGTGTTTGTTGTAAAGGAGGCTTTTTTGGAGTGGAAGTAGAAACAGGAAGTGTGAAGGAAGACTCAGGGTTAACTATTCCAGGTGAAGGTAAGGGGATAGGTTCTGAGGTTGAGGGAGTGGAATTAAGAGAGAGTTGGACCTCTGAGTCTGAGATATAAATGGGAGTTAAGCTGAGATTTTCTGTTTCCAAATGCAGGTCATCCTTGGAGAAGGTAAGCTCAGGTTCTTGAACCAGGCTGGAGGAGGGCAGCAGGTTGGATTGGTTCTCTGTCCAGGAGAGAAGGCAAAGGTCAAAGATTTCCTTATGCACTAGGGTTTCCCAATCCTCTTGGTTTTGGGGGTTCTCAGTTTGTGTTGGTGCTGTGGTGTTATGATGGGAATTAAGTGTGGGAGCAGTATCTAGGGTGATGGGGGTAGCAGAGGTAGTAGGGTGGAGTGTTTCAGGGTTGTGGGGTGTTTTTTGGTAATCTTCTGTCTGTAGGATTGTGAATGGGTTGTTTGTGGTTAATGGGGTGTTAGTTTGTTTGGAAGTGGTTGGCTTTCTGGGTGGTGCTTCAAGTGTGGGGCCTTTGCTGTTTGAGGTTTTGGCTTGGTTATTTTTGGGTCTATAGGTGTGGGGTATCTGGGTTTTGGCTGGATGTGTTTGGTTTTTTGGTTGGTTTTTGGGGGCAGATTCATGGATGCCAGCTGCTGGTTTCCGGCTACCATAGGATTCTGGTTTTTCCGGTGACGGTACTGGTGCTGTGAAGTGTTTGCAATCTGGAATGTGTCTCCCAACTCCCTTGCACTCATTGCAGTATTCTGGTAGCCCTTCGTAAATGGCAGTGAGGAGGAGGGGAGTATCTCCATTCTTAACATAGAATTTGGGGCTGGGTGGTTTACAAATATCTACTTCAACACAAATTCTAGCAATAGAGGGGCGGCCAAAGCATTCAGTTGTGGCATCAAGTTTGATGGGTTTACTTTCCAATTTGGAGTAGGGATTGTTTAGAGTGCAGGTGGATGGGGAGGTCTTTGATAGATATCCAAATAGGTAAGATTGGGGATTCATACCTTGGATCAAAATCCGGAGTCCACTTGGAGATCCTCATCTGGTAGCTCCCTAGTGTCCAGTCTTTCCGTTTGAAACACCTGAGGAACTCTTCTTCTCCGGAGAAGTTGAGTAGAATGTGGCTTGAGTTTATGAGAGTGACTGAAAAGCCAACAAAGCCTATGCGTTCCAGACATTGTTTGATAAACGAGATGCTTGGCCTGCCCCTGTAGAAGGTGCCAACCAAGGCTTTGTTGAACCTAGTGGAGAGAGCTTGGACTTCATCTTTGGTGAAGGATATGCAAGGCAACCCTTTGAATTTTTCCAATTGGCTTCTCTGCAATTTTGGTTGCTGCGTGGAGAAAAGATTTGGGAGGAGGGAGGTAGGTAGTGGCTGGAGGGGCACCAGTTCCTGCCGGAGGAGTCTCGCCGGACTCCTTACCGGAAGAAGAGAGCATGAAGAAGAGAGGAATTCCTAGAGAGAGTAATTCTTATATATATATATATATATATATATATATATATATATATATATATATATATATATATATATATATATATATATATATATATATATATATATATATATATATATATGTAT